TTATTATCAAGAATGAGTCAATGAATCGGATTAATGGGTGGTTTATTCAAATGGTTACCGGTAATATTCAATATTTTCCGTTAGTCTTACCGGGTAAAATTCTATTTCATCAACGTTGTCCGGGCTCGGCTTGCCTGGAACCTCTCGTAGCCGTCTGTTTGTGCTGCTTTGTCTGCTTTGTGTGAGCTTTTCTGCTCTCCTGGTTTTTCTTGGTGCGGTCTAGGGTGTGCCTTTTTTTAGGCCCCTTTTCCTTCCCCTGTGGTGTCCTCCGTTGCTTCCTGGTCTTGGCTTGACCGGGCCCCTCCCTTGTGGTCGGCTTCTGTCTCTGTCTCTCTTCTTCTCTCTGCTTCTTCCCYCTTCTCCTCTTCTCTCCTTCTTTCCCTTCTGGGTGCCTTGGATTCTGGTGGATGTGGTTCGCCCCCACCCGAGAGCGTATTTTGTTGTTTTAGTGTTTTTGCCTTGATCTGGAGGGGTCTCCCCCCTCCCTATCAAAAAAAATTCTATTTCATCAAAACATCATATAAAAAAAATTATACAGTAAACTCTAACCAGGTAAAAGTCATCGTGTTCACTTATATAGCGTTTGATACGCATACAAGATTGGACAGGACAAAACTGGACATGACAAGAGGTAGGACTTGACAGAACAAATGTATATCTGGTGTTGGTACGACTAAGACTGGACGGGACAAAAACAAACAAGTTACCTCACAAAATTATCTGATGTTTTAAATATTATATGATAGTTATAATTAACACAGATAAAGTAAATTATTAAAGATTTTAATTTATATATATTTTTACACAATTTTCATATAAATGGATATATATATATATATATATATATATAATGGTATCAAATATGAATGAAAAAAGTTTATATAGTTGATGGTAGTAATAGTGGTGGAGATGGTTTTGGTTATGGTAAGGGTGGTAGTGGTTGACGGTAATAGTGGCGATGGGAAGTCGTGGTTGATGGCCGACGGTGGTTATAGAGGTAGAGGCAGTAGTGGTTGGTGGACAATATTGGTTATAGATGACGTGAGGATGGTGGATTGTGGTGGTGGCGGCGGCGATTGACAACGGTGGATGAGGTAGTTGTGGCTAATGTAGTGAAGATAATGGTGGTGGTGGTTATGGTGGACGTGAGGCGGCAATAAACAGTGGTGGTCGATGGCCAACGGTGGTTGTGGAGGAGGTTGTTGCAGTAGAGGATGAGTTGGAGGTGGCAATGGATAATGGTGGTCGTTGGCCAAAGGTGGTTGTAGAGGTGGCTATGGACAGCGTGGTCGTTGGCCAATGGTGGTTGTAGAGGTGGCTATGGACAGCGTGGTCGTTGGCCAATGGTGGTTGTAGAAGTGGCTATGGACAGCGTGGTCGGTGGTCGACGGTGGTTGTGGAGGAGGTTGTTGAGGTATAGGAGGAGTTGAAGGTGGCCAACGGTGGCAGTGTTGGTGGCTATAAAGGTGACAATGGACAGTGGTAGTCGGTAGTGGGCGGTGGTTGTGGATGTGGTGAAAGAGGTTGTTGTAGTAGAGGAGGAGTTGGAGATGGCGAACGACGGTAGTGGCGGCGGCAATGGACAATGGTGGTGGTGGTCGACTACGGTAGAGGTGGCGATGGACGATGGTGTTTGGTGGTTGTGGAGGCGGTAAAGGATGTTGTAGTGGAAGAGGAGGTGGAGGTGGTGCTGGCGGCGGTCGAAACTAGCGGTGATGACCATTAAAATAAATAATATATTAATGTTATATATCAAACTAAGGTATATTAGTAATATTTTAGATTATATTTCATTATTGTCTCGTTTTTTCCACCTATTTTGGTGGAACAAGAAAAAACCTATTTTGTTTCATGTTGTCTCATCTTGTCCCAGTTTTGTTCTCGTCTCATGTCATGCTAAATGTGAGACAGTGAGTTATTGTTCTGTCTCATGTTGTGCCAAACATGGGACAACGAATTTTGTTCTGTTCTGTCATGTCCCGTCTCATGTACCAAACGCAACCTTAAGTAGCAGAAAAGGGATGGGGAAATAATGTGGGTGGTAATTGGAGAGGTAAAAAGAGTAGGCTTAGTAATCCGATAATTATTCAGGTAAATTGACTCAAATGAAAAAAATTCACAACTAAATTAACCTGCTAATCATTTCTTTTCGGATTTCATCCAAAAGTCACTAGGTCGGCAATACTCAGGTCCGCAATTATTGTGGATTCACCAAACGACAAAAAGATCAACTTTTTTGGGTCAGATCCGTAACCACCAATCTACAATAATTATGGATTCGACTCAAAACCCATTTTCCTAAAAAAAATTACGGATTCAAAGAAAATGAGTTTTAGGTTGGACCCGTGATAATACGAACCTAGGCCAAAAAACTCTAGATTTTTGTCGTTTAGTGTGTCTGCAATAATTGCAGACCTGAGCCAAAAAGACTCTGTAATTTTGTCGTTTAGCATGTCCGCAATAATCGTGGACCTGGGTATTAATGACTTTTGAGTGAAGTCTGAAAAAAATGGATAGCAGATCAATTTGGTTGTGAAATGTGATCATTTGAATCAATTTCCCATTAATTTACCAGTCAATTAGTCCTAAGTTAGTGTTAAGACTATTATCTTGGTTATGTTTTTTTAGTACAATTGTACGTACTTGTGTATGTATTATTCTTATTTATTATTCACCTGCTTTTATTGACTCAATTTATTTTCTTTCTTTTTTATTGGGCAAACTCTGCTTTTTAACAAACCTTTTTATAAATAGTTTTAATGTGAGGTATAGAATTGGACCTAAAAAAAACCAAGGTCGAATTATGCATATTTTAGATTTTTAGGGGCATTTGGGCCGCGTAATGAAATTTGATGAAGTTGGAATACATCAAAAAAATTGAATTTTGAAGGAAATGAAATGAAATTTAACAATGCTTTGTTGGTAGGAATTAAAATGTAATATCACAAATGAATTGGAATCTATATCTTTGTTTGAGGCGGGGGTGAGTGGGTGTGACGACAATAGTGGTCGAATGGCAGGGGATGGGTGTGACAACGACAATATGGTGGTGGGAGGCGTGACCGGGACAATAATAGCATGCTCGTGGTGGGGCCAAGGGGCGTGCGATGTTGGTTAGAATGGATGCAAAAGGGGATTGAATTCAATTCATCTACTTGTGCTAAAAGAATGATGAATTTGAAATCACATGTTTTACGATTTTGGGCGTTCGTTTATCAGCCGTAAGCGTTTATCGAACGTCACATCATAAAATTCAATATAATAAAGATCGATAAGTATTTATCAGATAAAAAACAAATGATATTATTCAATAAAATAAATAACGTTCAGTAAATGGTTTTATATGTGTTGCATTAAATAATGGGAGAGACTAATAACACCCCTAACTTTTACTTATGGAACCCTTATTCCCTAATATAATCATTTCTTTTTTGTATTCTTTTTGTGATTTTGTCTTTTTATTGTCTTTTTCTTTTTTATATTAATTTTATTTTACTTATTTTATTTTATTCTAAATATAATATTATTACAAATATTATTTATTATTCTCTA